TGCAAAGGAAGAAAGATCAGTGCTTCTTAGCCCTACCATGTGAAATACAGAATGGAGATTCCAAAGATTTACTTGAGACCTAAACCTTATTCATCTCTTTATGAAATTGAAAAAAAAAATTCATTGGTCCATATAAATAAGTTCTGATATGATTTAAACCATTACTTTAGATTACATTCCAATTGAATCAAATCAATATGTCCAAACTGGATCAAGTCAAATTGTTCTGAAACTAGGTTGAATGAAAACTTAATGAATCTTCCAAATCATACAACTTAATTTGTTTTTTTTTTTTAATTTTGTGGATAACATTCAACCAAGGCAGTGAAATAAGTGCAGGAATTGTTTTAGCTGGAATTGTATTTATAAGGAAAGGGACAGTTTAGTCTACATTGAATATTTTCAGGAAGAAAGGAAGAAATTACTCATCAACTGAGATAAAATTAAGTGAATGACTCACCGTCTTTACTCAAAAATATTTCTTTCTTTTTTTCCTATTATCTTTGTGCAGCCATCAGTAAGATTTTATGCTGTGGAGCTATCAATGACAATTTATGCAATTTCTCTTGCCATTAGTCTCCATTGGCAACATAATATGGTGCAGCAGAAGTTTTACTGAGTTCCTTGGGATGTGTCCCAAGGGTCTCTATTACTTTAGCTAAAGAATTCTATGGGGGGGGGGGAATCACTAATGTCTTAATTTGCAAACCTGATAACAGGAGAGGATACATCAAGACAGCTGAGTGCTACATTTTTTTTTCTCCCCATTTTTGTGTACTAGAAATCTAAAATTCTGCCAGTTGAAACTATTTTAGGATATTGTTAAGGGTGGGATGTTAGCTTCTTCTAACACATACTGTATTGTCCTATTTCATCTTGTGAGGTGGGTGGTTAAAAATCATTACAGTTATTTAAACTAAGATGCTGTTGCTACTTATACAGTGTGTGTGTGTGTGTGTGTGTGTGTGTGTGTACAATTTCTTGAGGTCTATCAGTCCTATTCAAACATATCTTTTGTTTGAGCATAAAAAATAGAGGTTGACAATACCCAGTTTTTTCGACAGCTGGGAGCTACAGTGGGACAGTTGATGATTAAAATTCAGTGGGGCCATATTATTATTATTATTATTATTATTATTATTATTATTATTATTATTATTATTATTATTATTATTATTATTATTATTATTATTATTACTATTTGATGAAGACTTTTTTTTAAAAAAAAGACTTATAATTCAAATTTCTGCTTCTTTTACAATGAAAGATTTGGAAATTGTGCATCCATTTCTGTTCAGAAAATTAGTTCTTGGAACTTCTTATGGCCCTCAGATGTCGGATTCCTTTGAATTTAATATTTCTTACTCTTAGCTAGATTAATCTAGGACTGTAAGTTTAATTTCCTTCCATGTATGAATCAACAATTTCCTCAATTATCTTACCAAGATAGTCCAAATTTTAAAACCTTAATTGTACCATAATCATTTAGCTTCTTTTAGAAACACGAAAATTCCACCTATATTTTCATGTCAATTACTGTTTCTTACTTTAGATTTGTAAGATTCAGATCAGTATTAAGACCAAAGGCTGTGATTGGATTCAAGTCTCAATGTCATTATATTAGAGACAGGCTATTTGAAATGGATGCCAGTAAAGCTGCCACTTCAGCACAATCCCCAAAATTTTCATCTTGTACCATCACTATAAAAAGTATAGAAGCCTCTCCTAGTACCTGCTTAATATTACCAGTGCTTCACTGAGAAAGGATTTAACTTCCCTTTGCCTGCAGTCCATGCCCTCCACATAGCTCAAAGGGAGATTTTGAAAGCTCCTTGTCAAACAATGGCTCTGTCCTTGTGGTGCTGAACAAGTAGAGGACTTCATTCATGATGTCTTCCACTGCCCCATTTACAATTACAGTATATCAGGGCCAAAATATCAGTGGTGGGTGAACTCAAGAGCTTGGACCTCAAAAAATAGAATTGCCTTCTCGCAGACATGTTCCCAACTGTCTGCAACCAAATTGCTACTTTTGCTCTGAAACTTAGAAATAAATGTTTAAGTTCCTAGTTGTAACTTTGGCTTTATCTTGCGACCTTTTTACATCTAATAACTATTTTTATTAGTTTATTTTACAATATTACTATTTTACTGTTATTATATTGTATTTTGTTTTTGTGATTACAATAAACTATCATCTCTCTCTCTCTCTCTCTCTCTCTCTCTCTCTCTCTCAAATGGACTATTCAGACCATTAATATTAGTTGAAAATACTGTAAGTTTGTCATCATTTCCAGAAATGCCAATCAGTTGGTCCATGTTCTGATCTGTTATGCCTTTTTCTATTACAGATAAAGAGGTGAGCATCCTCATTGCCTTGTCTAGTTACGCAAAAGCTTTGCCTGCGTCCCAAACAACCTCTGGACAAAATGGAGTAGTCCATCTGTATTTTATCTTTTTATTATGGAGAAACCTTGATTATTTCGAATGAACTTTTTGTCTGCCATTCTTAAAATCATGGGCTGTGGCTGTAATTTTTTCAAATGGATACAGAATAATTATAAAGAACAAAAAGCTAAAATTGTAGTGAATGGTCTTACTTCACAGTAATGCAGTCTTTCTTCTCTAATTTTATTAGCGTTAGAACCACTGGCAATTCAAATAGATTGAGAAAATAGAATCTCAGGACAGAAATTAACTACACATGAACATAAATTGAAATTATTTGCTGATAATATTATGTTAACAATGACTCAAATTAATGATTCTGTAATAGCATTGATGGAACATTACAACAATATGGTTCAGCGTGAACTTACTGAATCAGTAAAGATAATGCTGATGTTGAACATGAATGCAGATGATAGGCAATCTGTGTGTTGTTTGACAGGCTTTAATACTACCTCTAACAAGGTAAAGTATTTATGAATTTTCTTGACATAAAACAATACAGATCAATTTGATAATATTTACCAACTTCAAAACATATATCAACAGCTATTTATAGTCTGTATCTTATTACACAATGCCCTACTACACTTAATTGATCCCAATATTTTCAAATAAGCAGCACAACACCAAAAGAATTATGGAAACAAAGGGAACACTGAGAAATTTGCCTGCATTTGAAAATTGTATAAGACATAATGATGAACATTTGTTAGGAACAGTTTATAATTTACCAGTGAAATACAATTCAGAACTCAAGTAAAAAAATGCATGCAGAATTTGAATACAGTTATAGAGATGCACCTGTAGGAATTTCACTGGAAAAGTACATTCAATTTACTTTTAATATTATACTCAGAGAGAACTGATACAAGATGTTTTACCATTAGTAAATCACTCTAGTCATAAGGATAAAATATGCCTTTTATTGGAAAAAATCTTTGATCTTCCCTTCAGAAGAATGACTAAATAAATTGTAAAAGTATGCCTCGACCTCTAGAACCACAGGAAAAGGGCTGCTATAGATAAAAACTTTCATCCCCCTCCTCCTTTTAAGAGTTCACAGCTGAAAATAATACCTCAGTAATTTTCAGTTGTTCTTCCCTGTTTCTGTCTATTTTTTTTTCTGCTATTCAATACATTGAATACAATCAAAAGCCTCAAAAAGCTTTATCATGAAAAGCAGAAGGTTATAGATACATGAAAACAACTCTTCTACCTGCTTTCTATACATGCAGGAGCATTTTCTCCCATTTAACAGCATTTCTAGACAGATATACCAATTTAATTAAAATGTATGAATCAGTAAAAATGTATGACTGCTTAAGAAAAGAGAGTACAGTATAAAAGATTATGGTATAAAAGCCATTATAAAATATCTTCTAAAAATATTTAAAGAAATCCATATGTAAATAGAGGCATACGCTGAGATATATTTTCTGTATTGCAAGAAATCTAAATAATAATAAGTGGATGTTATTTCTTCTTTAAATGAAAAAGTATGAGTAATTTAACCATGTTTATTATTCAGCTCTATTTCTTTATACTATATCACAAAATTTAATGCTAGATGTTTTTATACAACCACAATCAACATTATTTAGCAGCTTTAATACTACATAAAACCATTATACTTCCCTGAATTTCACAAGGTAATTTAACCATGTTTATTCTTCAGCTCTATTTCTTTATACTATATCACAAAATTTAATGCTAGATGTTTTTATACAACCACAATCAACATTATTTAGCAGCTTTAATACTACATAAAACCATTATACTTCCCTGAATTTCACAAGGAGAAAACCTAACCCACTGGATCAAAATCATATTTCTTTGCTAACTAATGTGCATATGATTAATTTACCCACTAAAATTGAGGCATGTTTCAAAAAGGCCTGGAAATTGAAAGCTTATACTAAAACACACATAACTGAGAATATTTCCGTAAGGTATGGGGAAAAATAGTGAAAATCAGCTTCCAAAATGCCATTTTGAGTTCTTTGTTCCTCATGCTGTAGATCAGTGTCAGCTTCCAAAATGCCATTTTGAGTTCTTTGTTCCTCATGCTGTAGATCAGTGTCAGCTTCCAAAATGCCATTTTGAGTTCTTTGTTCCTCATGCTGTAGATCAGTGGATTCATGACTGGTGGCAACACACAGTAAAACAGAGAAATCAGTATATCTGATGTTGATGGGGAGCTTGTTGTGTGTCTCAGGTATGCAAAAGTACCACTTACCAGAAACAGGCAAATGACAAAGAGATGGGGTAAACAGGTAGAGAAGGCCTTTTGCTTCCCTTGGGTAGATGGGATTCTCAAAACTGCTCTGAAGATCTGAATATAAGAAAAAACAATTGGAGCAAAATAGAGAAAAGCTAAACAAGAACCAAAGATAACAGCCCACACTACTGGAAGATACGAGTCTGAGCAAGAGATCTTGAGCAACTGAGGGATTTCACAAAAGAACTGATGGATGATCCTGGAGCAGAACTCCACTGTGAATACATTTCCCGTATAGATTGTTGAATAAAACAGGCCACCCATCCATGCACCGGTTGCCATTCGGATGCAGGCTCTCTTGTTCAGTACCGTCTCATAACGCAAAGGATTGCAGATGGCTACATAACGATCATACGCCATGACACCGAGGAGAAAGAAGTGAGACAGCATGAAGAAAACAAGGAAGAAAACTTGGCAGAGACATCCAGAGTAAGAAATGGTTTCAGTGTTCATCAAGGAATTCAGCAGTGACTTAGGAACTGTGACAGAGACGGAGCCAAGATCTTGCAAAGATAGGTTGACTAGAAAAAAATAAAGAAAACTTGGCAGAGACATCCAGAGTAAGAAATGGTTTCAGTGTTCATCAAGGAATTCAGCAGTGACTTAGGAACTGTGACAGAGACGGAGCCAAGATCTTGCAAAGATAGGTTGACTAGAAAAAAATACATGGGTGAATGGAGCTGATGACTATAAACAATGACAGTGATGATGATGATATTTTCAGTGAGGGCTACCAAATAAATTATTAAAAAAACAAGGATATGGACTATCCGTAGCTCCTCAGTATCAGGGAATCCATTCAGGAGGAATTCACTAACTCTTGACTTATTTTCCATTCTGCTTTGTAGACTTCAGAGTTTGTAACAGGAGATCAAATCTCAGACCCTTTTCTCTTGTACCTGTGGCAGTATTCATGATAGAGTGAAATGCTCTTCAAATAATTTTCTTTGATGTGAGAGTGCTAGATAAAAGCAGAGGTTTCTCTATGGGAACTTTGTAATTATCCTCATGGGGCCCATTTCTCAAGAGCCTAGTTTACTTTACCAGCCCTAAGTCCATGTAGATGTTGGAAAATATGCTCAGAGCTTTTCTTATGTGGCCTTTAATCTATACAAGAAGTACTATACTGGCCTTTCAGACTTCTTTGATTGGTGCACACGATAATTTCTATGTTCATCTCAGTTTCCAAACTCGTCTCTGTGACAAATGCATACCCCCCCCCCCAACTTGGCTAAAAACTTGCATGAGAAGAGGTGTAGCAGAGGCTGTGAAAATAGCTTGGATTAAGAAACAAGGAATTCCAAATAATACTCCAGGTGACACCCATACAATCTTGGCTTATTTTAAAAAAGCTAAGCACTTGTTAATAATGGTTAGTACTTGGTTGCTATAAATCAATTACATATGCAAATTTAGTTGTCTATTTTATTATCTGTATTGTTTATACTTTAAACTGTTTATGCTTGGATGAATCAGGTTATACCAAGGCTGTAGACTAGGATAGAGAAGGAGGAGGAGGAGGAGGAGGAGGAGGAG